AGAGACTATATTGAAAAATAATAATAGTAATTCGAGATTTATTCATTTTATAGTTATAAGTCAGATCTTACTATAAATTCGTTATCTTTCAATCCATTCATTCCAATCTGCAGCAACGGACTCATCCTTCGTAATTCGGTTAATATTAGCATCAATCGATCGTAAATCGTTCAAATGATTTCATAACCACTCGAAATATCTTAATTATTAATTAATGATAATAGTACATCGTCCTCAGAATATTCTGCTTATTCTCACACCCCTTTACAATAACTTTTATAAAATCATATTGAATTAGTTACAAATTAGACAGGTAAGAATGCAGAACACAACGCACTTTTGTAAAAGTTATTGTGAGATAAAAATTATTTTTAACTAAGGATCATTCGGTTTATTATGACCAATGGGAGAATATCGGCATTAAGTGTTTCATCTTTTTCTGAACTATTGTTTTTCAAATTGGACGCATCCTTACACTCTTATATAAGCAAAGTTGACTGCAGCACGAACGAACCGCATCAAATTAACGTGAAGTACTGCATTTCCGCAGGAGGCACTTCCGTTCCACCGTGACCGTAGTGAATAACCCAACATCGTTGTCAGTAGTATCGACCAGTCACGCAATGCCAAACCTACACACACCAATTCTACAAGATTGAATTGACTAAACAATTCTGGGTTGAAGCAGAGCATCATAGAACAACCGTCCATGCTGAGGTCCATATGAATATTGTTAAATATCTGCACTAAAGATTACGTACATGTAAATATTCTAATTTTTGATTTTGTGTTTTAAATTAAAAGATTAGAAATTTAGAGAAGAAATTCATATCTAATTGCTGAGAAAAGAAAATAATATAATGTAATGTTACCCTAAAGGTAAACTGTGGACTGGTTTCATTACATTCAGTTATTTTATTTTTCTTCTTTACTTGTTTGGACTCAAGTAATCAGCATCGGATTGTTCCGGGCTTAAGCATGTCACAAAGTTTTCGGTAGTAACCCGGTATCTATCGTAACTTACCGTGCAAGAAAAATAATGTGGCTCAAGTCAGAGATTACCCTCAAAAGATATTTCCAACATTTCCTCGAACATACTATGTATATGGATTATTTTGTTAAGTTCGTCTCCTGATCAGTTAAATAAGGGTGTAAGCAGACATTAAGATAACAACCTAACTATATATACAACAAAAATTATGCCTATGGAAAAACATTTAAACGTTAACAAAATATCGTATAGCATATTGCTATAAATATATTGTTGTAAGTATATAAATTGTAAATACTCCTATTTACTAAAAACACAGAGAACAAATGATGAATCAATCCAAACGGATTCCATGTTTTTGCTTAATTTTGTTTTAACAAAGCTACGAGAATAGACAATACACCGGCTAAAATATGAAAAACTATAATGAGGGATATGGTTGAAGAGATATTTTTGACTAAAGATACATGTAAAAACGTATACCTACTAACATAATATGTGTACAGCAACAACAAATAACTAATACATATTAATACAGACCTACCTTTGACATATAATACTTCTTCCTAGTAGAATTTTATAACTGTCCAACACACCAAGAATTACTCCAACGATTGATAAAAAAGGAGAATACATCTCAAACATATCATCTTCTAACGTTAAAAGAATTCTGACTGACGGGTTGGAGGAACCATCATTTGCTTTCGTTTTGTAACAACACGGGTCATGTTCTGTCAAGTTCTAATCTTGCAGAACTATAAGAATCAAAATTCTTTCAAAATTTAAGAGCTTGTAGTAAGTGGAAGAGTATTTTGACTCAAAATGGTCACACATAAACATTACGTTAAATCGACAAAAAGGCGCTAGCTACATCATAAGAATATAATATAATTAAATATAATATGGCAAGCATAAAAAATACAAAATAAATCAGAATATTACATCATAATAATTTGCATGTAAAAAGATTTCAAAATTAAACTAAGCGTTTTGCCTACCCAGAGCTGCACGAAGAGTTTGAGGAGGCAGCATAGGCCGTTGGTGATCGCAAAACAAAAAGGAACTTACAAGTCGGTAGTCACACATAGGAACTAGGAGGCAGCCGTTAAAACAACTCCATAGTTTCAAATACCTCGGTTCAATCATAAATAATGAAGGAACAGTAGATACATGCCGAAGTTTTTGATCGAATAAACACCGAATGAATGAAATGGAGAGAATGTTTGGACATGCTTTACTACAAAAGAGGCCGATACACATCGAAGGTGTACAAAACAGTAGTCATAGCTCCTCAAAATACACTACAAGAAGGCAAATGCCTAACATAAGCATAAGAGATTGAGAAGACCCCTACAGACATAGCCATCGTTAACGAGGATGTGAGTAAATCAGAGTTGTCAGCTGAGGCAACCCGTGACCGAGTGCCCTAGAAACATAAATAATGAGAGTAAGGCCAGGGAGAGATAGTTTTACTGATTTGATTGTGTTTTACACACATATAGTGAGCATTTGACAATGGACTTCTAAAATAATTAAATTACGCCGAATTATTATACATATACAATCGCTTCAATCTTCGGGAGATGCAGTCCGTTCTAGACGAATATTATTCAATCTGTTGGGAGGATATAAGTCTTTGTTCTTCTTACTTGTGAAAATGAAGGCGACTTTGACATCATAGTGACAAGCAATAGTTTATCAGCTTCTTCCACCTAGATTTTGATTCACTTTCGGGAAATCCGTTTGCTGAAGACGTTTTGTACAGCGTTGCAACAGAAGAAGCAGCCGAGACACTTCAGACTCCTCAAGTGAAGGGCAAAATTCAACATATATTAATTGCGTGAAAAATAAAGAAGCATCCTAAAAGCTGATAACTCTAGATGCTCAAGCATTTGAAGCAATTCGACAGCACATAAAAAAGCAACAAAATTACATATATAACAAACATTCTCAGTGCAGAGAAGGTGACCTACATCACATTTTATTTCACAAAAATCAGCCGAATCTTCCGTCTATGTTTCCGCTTCGAGAAATACGAAGTTGTGTGAAATCGGACGGAATTAGGTACTTATCAAAGATCTCAGAAGATGCCGTCCGCATGAAGCTTCAAAAAATGCCCATCCAATCCTTTAGCGGGACTGTGTTAGTGTACATGTTCCCTCCATGGCCCCCGAAAAACTTTTTAGAAATACATTGATTCCATATTTCTCTCATATTTCAAAAATAAAGATTCTCCTATCGTGAAAAGGAATACATACCCATCTGGGACACCTACAGTTCAACAAGTTAGTTTAAAAACTACTATTAGTGAGAAACGTAGTCGTGGTGAACAAAATTATAGTTGTTTCAGCTACTACTACCCCTAAAACATCACGAAATTACTTTCTCAAAGATGCTGAATGCTATGAATAAACTCTTTCACCTTCCTGCATACAGCTGGAAGTCTGAATGCCCTTGGCGTTGGGATTTGTAATACTGTAAAGTCATCCGTCGTTACCTCGTTATGTCTCTAATCAGGGATGCAACCACAAAAAGTCAGATAATCAGCTATTTCCTTATTTAGCAGATGTTGCAAGAAAAACGTGATTTCAAACATTCATGCGGGACACGCAGTCGCAAATCTCAGAAAGCCGGTTTAGTTTGTATTGAACTAAGGCAATGTTGCGGTGACTATCCAACACAAAATCTGTATAAAGAACACGTTGTAGAATTGTCTTGTTGTGTACATTGTTCGATTAAGAAGTAACTTATTTTTATCATCAAAGTTGTATTTTTGATGGAACGTAAAATGAACGAAAGACGTGAGCCGTTTGTATCAAACTATTAGATGCGGAATCGTTAGACAATATTATTATACACTTTAGAAATTATCTTCGTTTAATTCTTAATATTTAAAGGCTTATTAAAATCATTTTCTTGTTTTGCCCCGGGATGATATGCAACACACAGTCTTGTGAATTCAACTCTTCAATTGGTCAATAAATCTTAAAAAAAAACACTGAACAAAGAGACACATTGTTTTTCATGTCAAAATACAAAATTAATTTTTTATTGCAGACACTCCGGGGGAAATATCAAGTGGGTACAGAGCAGTAACTTCTCTCCTACTCCAAAGTAAACAGATTCCAGATAATTCTAACACTTTTTTACTTATAGTCTAACACCTTCATATACTTTATAATGAAGGATATTTATTTACTTTACACGGATTGGATCCACGACTTAATAATTAAATTGTGGTTAATGAACGTAAACCGATATGTGTATAGATTGGCATAACACGTATAGTCTTGGTAAGCATTTTATGAAAATTACCAGACGTGAATCGCTATGAGAACAAACAATTCCGAAAACGCAATCCATGTTTGGTAGTTTCGATAAAATGCTGACCGAGAACTTGTCCTGTTTAACTGCCCGTTACTTCTCAAAACTTATAACTATGTGTAAGCAAAAGGTCCTGTTAGGCAAATATATACACAATACAAACAGGGTATTATCGGAAACTCATACATATTTGTGTGTTCGTGTTGTAGCTTGTTTTAGCTTCTATCTTCATTTTGCGACCAGTACGGTCAGCAAGAATTAAACAAATTAAAGTAGTCCCTATATTTCTGTTTATTTATGACTTTTTGAAAAATATACCTAAAAGGAGTAGAGGTAGAACTAGATTACATTGCTGTTCGCAAACAGTTAAGGATGTGGGGTATTCTAGTTTTAGGGAAATACGAAAATTAGCTCAGGATACGAATGACTGAAGGTGCGCGTCCAACCAGACTGACAGAACTGACGATCTTTTGATGATGATATTTAAAAAGGTAAAGGACTTACCTTCTGGTGGTTAACTAAGCGACGGAACACCTGAAAACAAAAAACTTGTTTACTCAATGTTATTATTAAATTAGATAGCTAATTGGATGTAAATAGTAAAATATTTAAATAAGAATTAGGTATAACGAGATCCTACTAATAGTAAGTATCGACAATTAGGTAGGAAGAGAAATCGGAATCATCAATGATAATCGAAAATTTATGCTTACGCTCAAAAGGGTTTTGATTTAATCAAATTTAAGTCCGTTGCTTCTTGAAAATTTTGCTGCAGTTAATAAAACAATTAATATTTGTCTTCGAAACACGTCTTGGAGTCTTTAAACATTTTTATGTGGCATTTTTGGTTTTAGAATTTCATTTAAATACTTTTCATACAAATCTAATTAAGGTGGATACTATTTCACGTCCTTCACTAATTTTGACTTAACTTTACCATTACAAATGACAATTTGAGGCAATTACCGCAATTTCATGAAGGTATGCATGTTGTTACTGTTACTGTTCCCCATATATAGTTATCAATTGTTTTGAAATTTGATTTTCATAACAAAATATGTGGGTGCTTCTTATTTTTCTACCATCATATTTATAGTTCCTACAATGACAAAGTTATTTAAATTACGTCATTTTTATTGTTAATTCACTAAATGCAAAGAGAACTTAAAATATCAATAGTAGAGTCTAATGAAACCAACTTGGTAATTATCGGAAAATAAACAATGTTGTTTCCTGCCTTATGCGAGTACTTTCTGGAATCGAATATTCAATTTATAAACCTTTAGGGAGAAAACAATTTCTTAAATTAACGCATGTTACCAGCAAAAATGATTTGTGCACTAATTGAAGTGAAAAATTCAGGTAGTTGTTGTTACACGTGTGAAATCAATTTCCAATAATATTGGATATATCTAAAGCTATCCTAAGCCAGAATTGGTTTTAGTTCTCATTCAAATGCTTGCCTCGTGTCCGAAGCTCACTTTGATCCAAATCCCCAAGTTTAAGCTCACAAAGGATCAGGAAGGTTTGCGCTGCTAAGTGTTTGGCTCTAAAGTAAATTTCTTCCTGTAAAGGAAGGCCTTGGGAGGCGTGTAGGGTAAAACGAGGAAATCCCTCTAAACAAATTATCGGTGGCACAGACAAAGTGCCAAGGGAGACGCAATGAGAACATCAAGTTTGGCAAGCGAGTACTATGATCCCATTCGTCTTTGCAACTAACGTGCTACTAATTAATACAGTTAAACAGGATGGAGGTAAGAAAGGAAGGTACAAAGTAGACTGAAACCCCTTGTCAGCTTTTCGCTAAAATGTGTGTAGGCCGCATTAAATGCTAAACATGCCAAAGGAGTGATTACTATCATACGCAGCTATACACCATAAAGGCCAATTAAGAGCGAGTCGTGTGGGGAATAATGCTTTTTAGGTATTCATGGTCGATGTCTTCAGTCACTAGTGCGTAAAATATGGTGGTGGACTTTATAAGAAGGTTCATGCCTGAATGAAGTTCAAGTCAGAAAACTTAAATAATTTAAAATGCATTTTAGTCGATTTTAGAAATAATATTAATTTTTGCAAACGGGTCAGCATAAGCGTATTTATTTGTTCTAATTATTGTAGTTTTTAATCATTACTGTAAAAAGTTTTCAATTGGATTTTAGTACGATGGTCTGGTTTAAGCGATAAGTCGACACTTCGTCACAAAACAACGCTTCTGTGGGCAAAACTACTCGCTCACGACTATTGAATAAAGTAATTCGAATGGTCTGTCGAAACTGCCAGATGCGGATCGCGATTTCGATCTTGTGGGATCTCATCAGCGCGTCGCAAATGTGCCTATCACTTGGTGGTGAATTACGCCGGTATTTCGTTTCAGAAAGTTGATATCCATGTATTTAAATGGACCTTGTTGAGAATACGTAATCCTAAAATGTAGCATTGTACTACAGATGGCGTTTACCGCGCCATTTGTGGTATTTTATATCACGACTATTGCAGAATATTTGCTGTAAAAGTAACAGATATTATGGATCCTCTAAAGTATTCGTTGAAATTAGCTTCGCCATCAATGAAATATCTCTTAATCAGCATAATACTACAACACTACTCTTATTTTATTTGAATAAACATAATTTGAATCGATCTTCGCTTCTTGCGTTAAATGTTAATGATAACAGCGAAACATCCTGTTCTGCTACATCCATAAGCAAATAAGCTAAAATTGTAGGTCCAGTTCTTTGTAATTTATTAATACCAGTAATTTAAACTTCTTACAAAACTCGCCAAAAAGGTAAAATGGTATCCTTCGGAAGAAGCCGCGCGCAAACGCTAATGGAACATCTTACCAAAAGGATATTGTTGGATTGCGGTACAGCAAATCTGTGACAATTGCAATTATGCACAGGTTAAACGAGAATTCTTAATGAATAATACCTTTTTTGTAAAATTGCTGCAGGCCGTTTGCACACGGCAGGTCAATTTACATTTTCGTGAATTTTTGGAAATCTTATTTTTTAACGAAATTTTGATGGTAAGAAGAGGCTTTGAAAAGCTACAATTTAAGTCCCGAGAGAATTATCTACGATCTATATGGGTTGAAGGAGACAATGACAAAGAAATTATAATTTGGGCTATCGTAACTATTTTTCTTTTTTCTTTTTTTTTGTGTAATCTACAAACTAATTTATTCTAAAGCACATGCACCCGATTATCGCGTTAAGAAACCTGCCAGGATGATTTTCCTCCTCAAAAAAACAGTACAGCCTCTACTAATACAATCATTACAGAATGGCTGCTTAATTTAAGTGAAAATTGACCTGATATAAAGCGGACCTGACAATCACAACATAATCTGGTATTTTAGATCGGCTTCAATGCACCGTAACCTCAATTAGGTACTAACGCCACTAAATTTTGATATGAACATCCCTTTCATTACAAAAGACGAATTGAATATTTTACATGGTTTCAAGAAGAATTCACAAATTGCTGTATGTTTTATTTCTCATAAAACCACAAAAATGCTAGTAATTCTGTAAAGCCGTTCTTTACTTAATATGAACTATAACCGAACCTAATGGTGAATGGTGTTGTAAACGTTTCGTATTACAGCTATACGAATTTCACATCTGATGTGTAATTCAATACTTCTATTTTACGACTGCCTATTTAAATACATGTCTGCAATGTTCCCAAAAGTTACACGAAATCTCCTCATTTATATCATATCCCAATTCCAATACACTGTACAATGAAGTGATCATTATTTAAAGCGGATTTGTGGTAGTCAGGGACGAAACCTAGCTACCATTTCCTAATCACAAATTCTTTATTAATTTACGTAATTATAAGCTACTCATTATGTCATAGGAATGGATACATTATTTATTGACATTATGAGAACATAATATTATGTAGGTACTTACTACTTGCTTTCGAAATTATTTCAATCCTAATAAATTAATTTTTTACATCTAAATTTTCCCCAATGCTGTTCTGTAAAATAGCAAAAATCCCATTGAAATTAATTTTAACAGACATACTTCTAGAATCTACGCGCAAAGTAGTATGAAATGGAAGTTCAGAAACATGCACCGACATTTTCACTAACTATTTATCAATATTTGAAGGTACAATACAGAATCAAATCCAGAATAGAAAAAAAGGGTTATTTCTTAAACCAGCACTAACATTTCTTCCTTGTAGACATACTTCTCTATACGATTTATTAAATGCCAATTGTGTTTATGATGAGTTGATTTCATAATTACCTCCTGTACTATACATGAACACAAAACTAAAATCATATGTATGTGTTACCGCTAAGGCAGATAAAAAAAATCCGGACCACCTGCCAGGGCACATCCGAACATATATTCGAATACGTACAAATTGTTGCGATTGTAACAATTTTATACTTGTGAGTGTTAAATGTTAAAATTAATTCATTTCTATAAGCACAGACAAAGAGAATCAACTGAACATTAGCATAATAGTTATGACCAATTGTTCCGGTTCATCAATAACATGTACAGTGTATAAAACTTTTACTATTTAGAAATTTTAGACTGTTCCTGCTGTGCCTTTGAGCCATTGATAGACAGGCAGTTCCTTTAAATTTATGACGTATAGCTTTATGACAGTTGTCCCTCGATATTCGGGGCACACTGTAACGAATCTGATTAGTTTAGGATTGTAATTTTTGTATATAGCTCCAGAACCGACCTTTTTCCTTTACTTAGAATTTCACAACGCCTACCACTTTCCAATTCCTAGTTTCAACCAATAGTAGTCACCACCCCACTTACCCCTTGTATATAGATTAGCTTTAAATACTTAGACTGTACTATATAGACATTATTATTGATAATTCAGTTATACCAGTAAAATATTGATTCTTTAGTTATACCAGACAATACTAATTATTCAGTAAAACCAGTAAATATTAATTCATCCTTTAAACCAGTAAAAATAGATTCATCTTTATACCAGTTAATTCAGATTAAGAACCAAACATAACCAATAAACCGATAATCAAGTTTGTGTTCTTATTATTTCATCTAACTAACTACGCAAATTTAATTAGGCGCGTAGTCCGTCTAAATCAAGACGGGACATTACACCAATCTCTAGACAGCGCTACCAACGTCTGCCCCTTTTCTACAAACCTGTAATTTCTGTTTTCCGAATCTATTTGTCTTTTTGAACTGAAACTTTTTTACATATGGTAGGGTAAGTTCGTTTCATGCGAGTTGTTCATGTAACGAAATCATGCAACGAATGTCCCCCCTCTACTCGGCCACGTAGCCGAGTTCGTAGTGGGGATCGCTTGAGCCGCGCGCTTCCATGCAACGGTCGTTACAGGCAACTCCGGCATGTATAGTGAAAAATTTAAATTCAGAGTGTACAAATAATACCATTAAACCAATTCCTTGAACCCTATCCCGGTATGTTTGTGTGTTTGAAGAAGTTTCACTTCAGTAGCGTGTTGTATAATTACACGTTGTATTTTTTGTGTATACCTGAGTATATCTATT